GACAGGAAGAGCGAGGAATAGAGCGGAGGGCAGCGTTGAAGACAGTGTCATGAAAAAGGAGGAGAGCGCGAGAGAGAGGCAGAAGGGAGAGGTCAGAGAGAGCAGCACTGAGGGTAAATAGGGTCCAGTCCGCCTTAGCAAACTGCCACCTAGGAAAAAAAAGGGGAAGGGCAAAACGAGAAAAAGGAAACAAGGATGGGGAAATGATCACTGCCATGGAGGTCATCAAGAACCTGCCACGTGAAATCTAAATAAAAAGAAGGAGAGCAGAGAGAAAGATCAATACAGAAAGGGTGCGAGTCCGAGAGTCCAAATGAGTGGGCTCACCAGAATTCAGAAGAGACAGGGAAGAAGAGAGGAGAAACGGCTCAAGAAGGCGACCCCGGGTATTCGTCAGGACATCACCCCAAAGAGAATGACGACAATTGAAGTCACCTAGCAGGAGCACAGGCTCCGGCAAGGAGTCTAGGAGGTGTTTCAAATCAGGAAGAGAAAGCGGGACACTCGGGGGGAGATAAATGGAACAAACTGTGTACCATTTCCCCACAAAGATACGAGCAGCAGAACAATGGAGAGGCAAATGAAAAAGTAAAGGAACAAAGGGAACATCAGCGCGGATCAAGAGAGCAGAAGAATTAGGAATCTCAGCAATGGCTGGGGGGGGGGGGGAAGAAAGGAATAGCCATGAAAACGACCAGGACAAGCACCAAGCATCGGCTCCTGGAGACAGACACAAAGGGGCGAAAACCGCGAAATCAGAAGTTGGAGTTCGAGGAAATTGGCGTAATAACCTCGAACGTTCCATTGAAGAATAGATATCGACGAGAAAAGAAAGGACAACAACAGAGAACAAGGAAGAAACAAAGGTGAAAGAGCAAAACAGCACGTTAAAGAATATCAGGGTCGGGATCAGGGTCAGCAAAGCCAGGGTTATGGGGCATGGGTAAACTGAGCAAAGACGGAGGGAAGGACGCGGGAGAACAAACCATAGGTGGGCGGGCGGGGTCCGGAGGAGGAGGAAGAGGAGGAGACAACGGAGAGGAGCAGTCAAGGACAGCAGCAGGAAGAGGGGAAGTAGAAAGAGGGGGAGCGCACCTCAGCAAGAGCAGCAACCGAAAGGGAAGCAGGGGCCAAAGAAACCTCCATAGCAGGAACAGGGGGCGCAAGCACAGAAATGGGAGGGGAAGGAGCAACAGAGCCAGAAGTAGGGGCCAAGGAAGAAAGCGAAGCCTTCTTACCTGCCGGGGAGGAGGAAGGAGAGGAGCCAGGCTTACGCTTCTGACTTACAGAGACCGGTGTCCCAGCAACTACGTACCGGGCAACGGATTCCAGTGTCTCAACAGGAGAAGCTGAACGAGAGCACACACGACGGCCGTTAGAAGAGCGATGGACATCTGCCTGCACCGACAGGTGGCGGGGAGAGCCAATAGATGGAGGAAGAGGATGGGACGGAGGATCGGAGGGAGGCGAGGAAGAAGACACAGGAGACACGACAGACCGGGTAGAAAGAAGGGGAACCCCAGACAGAGGACCAGGAGGAGGACCCTTCGGGACAGAACTCAAAGGAACAGAGGAAGGGGCAGTGGGCGTATCAGGGTCCAAGGCCCGGAAACGGTTGTGAGTCTGAGGAAGGAGGGAAGGACGAGGAGAGGAAGAGCGCAACACGCGAGCATAAGAGACGTTAGCATAAGGCGGGAGCCGGCAAACCTGGCGCCTCACCTCAGGAAAAGATAAACGCTCCCGGTGCTTCAAGTTGAGGACGGCCGCCTCAAGCTTGTAATGGATACAGGCACGGGAGAAGGTAGGATGGGCCTCACCGTAGATGAGGCAGCGAGCTTGGCGAGAAGTGCACTCCGACTTAGCACTCCGTACAGCCCCCAGGTCACCACTGGGGGCTGGACCTTCACCCCTACACAAACGACAGAGAGAGACAGTCCCAGAGCAGCGGAGGGCACCATGCCCAACCCTCCAGCACTTGTTACAAAGCCGAGGAGAAGGAATATACTCCTGGACAGAGCACCTAGCACCAGCAAGAATGACAGAGGATGGAAGGGTCCTACCATCAAAGGTGATCTTCACAACACAAAGGGGTTGACGGCGACGACCACGGGGGAGGGGGGGGGACGAGTAAACGAGTCAACCTGGAGGACAGAATGGCCTTGGGCATCAAGGATATGTCGAATATCATCGTGGCAATCCTGCAGATTCCGAACACCGGTTGCAACATGGGGCGGGAGGAGAATAGTGCCAACTCTGGCATTCATCTGAACATTCTTGGAGACCCGAACAGGGATCTCGCCAAGGCAAGACAAGGCTGCCAAGCGGGAAGCTGCATCCTGAGAAGGAGCAGCAATGACACGTGTACAGAGACGAGTGGGGTTGAAGGTAACAGACGCATCCACGGAATCAACAAGATGCCGATGGAGGGAGAAATTGTCAGGAGGCACAGAATCAAGAGGGAGGAGATCAAAGTATTTTTCCCATAAAGTGGGACCAAACAAGGCCTGATACGTGGCAGTATGGGAAGGAATCGAGCGAGTGCAACCAGGGCGCGAACGGCGTTGAGAACCCCCAGAGAGAGAGGGGTTAAAAGGCGCAGTAGTCACAACAAGAGACTTAGCCGCACCAGGGGACGAAGTGGTCACCACTGGGGGCTGGAGGCTCGACCCAACCACAGAGGAGGGAGGGGAGCTGGAGGAAGAAGTCAGGACGGTCAAAGGAGGAGCAAGGTCGGGGCCCAACGCAGCGGGAGCTACAGAGCCTGGTCTTCCAATACAGGCCGACTCGGGGGCTTGGTCGCCCACCCCACGAGCCTGAGAGGGTACAACGGAAACATTTATCGACATAGAGACGAAGAGAAAGAAATTCATCCACGAATGTGCCCCCATACCCACCATGGAGCCACAATCAGAGGCAGGACACCCAACAGGAAGCTATCGCCGATCATGCCGGGGCCCCCTAGGGGTGCGTCGTGAGTATACGCCCCACAAACTCCACCTTAAGAACCGTCAGTCCGTCCAGATCGGGTTCAGCGACAAAAGGGGGATTGACAATAAAAGGTTCCCCTCGCTCGAGACGTCGGGTACAACAGGTCTACGGGTGCAAGAGTATGCCTCCTCAAGCACCCGGGCGTCAAAATAGAAGAAGTCCAAAGAAAGATCCAAAACAAGCAAAAGGTCGGCAGGAAACAACAAGCAGATAGGAGAAGAGGGGGAGAAAAACGAAACAGAAGGAAAAGGAAAAGGTGCTCAGCACAATTGGAGATGATGGCAGCAGAAGCACAAGGCTAGAAAAGGACAGAGGACTGTCCCAAGGAGCATCACACTCCGGCAGAGGCCCACTAAGACCCCCTCACGGCATCAACGAGCTGAGCGGGGAGGGGGGTGGTGATAGTAAACGATCCCATCAGGCAGGTCTCGTCACCTTCTCTCATATTTCATGTTCACCAGTGTTTAATTACTTAATAACTACTGGTATAATATCTTGCTATTACAAAACTATTCTAATATCATAAAAAGACATATTTACTCAAAGTTTCAAGCAAAGAATGCATATATAACACACACACGAAGGACTCCTCTTCACGAGATTCAATTGCTATAATCTTTTGTTTATGTTCCAAAATCTTAAAATCGGTCCCAGTATTATGTAGTAGAGAAAAATTGAGTTGTATCTAGTTTACATAAAGCTACGAGTGGTCGAAACCACACTTAGATCCCAGACCAAACTTTCGAAAGTTTTTCGACTTAGTGTAGTAACAACCATGAGGTAACACTCACTCACCGGAGAGTTGACATTATGCTCTGTAGCACATGGTGCTGATCGTGACCCGCCATCCACGAGAGGTCATCTATCATGTCGACCTCACTGTCTGATCAAGGCAAGAAACAGGAGCCATGCATCGCTGCCACTCCACCACCAATAGATGGTGTTGTCCATGTAGCGTCCAATATCAGGGGAACTGAGGTGCCTACTCATAGATGATGCCGCAATCGCCACTCCATACTCCAATGAAGGTGGCAATACCGTAACATCATTGGATATATCCATATCCAATGAAGTGTAGGACGTCTAGTACACTGAGTAGATGTCTTACTCTTTTTTACAAGACGGAGGTATTAAGCAACATCATTCTCAATATTAAAACACTATCCTTAATCGTCAAGACATAGTGAAAGATATGACAGTTATCACACACACCGACGACAGTAGAAGGCTTCGTATGCTTGAGGCTGTGTTCATGCAAAAGCTGACACCAGTAATCAACATCCAGATGAAATAGACTTCGAGCATAATTTAATTTTCATAGTTTCCTACCTTGTGCTTCAAACTCATACTGTATCTTGTGCTACCTACTTCTCCAATATTATTACTTACGACATATATCTTTACCAATGTAATCAGCTCTGTCAATTTATATTGTTGTTATTTGTTGATATAAAACTTTCCTGCAATGTACCATTTCATCTTACCTAATATGTTAGAATAAGGACCTGCCTGAAACGCTGTGCATGTTAGTGGCTTTAGAAGAATGTACAAATACCAATCTTATGTAATCTCACCAACCCATTGTATTTCCTTATGAATAAATTATTATTATTATTATTATTATTATTATTATTATTATTATTATTATCTTTATTATTATTATTATTTACTGTGCCTTAGACTGAAAACTAGGAGAATATCGCCAAGAATCGCGCTGCAGACTGAATGACGACTGTGGAAAGGTGGTGTCTACGCAAGCCCAGGGCTGGCGGCTCCCCATACCAGCAGCTCTCACTTCCCCACTACAATCGTATAATCCTAACCCGCTCCCACACAAATTGTTGACAATGAATGGTCGCCATCGATATTGATGAACATGTGTATTTATTTCAAGAAGAAAATGTTTCAGAAGTCTTGACCTTTGTGTTTTACTGAAAGTTTAAACAATTACTCCCATTGTGGAACTATATTTGGTTCCTAATTTCTCTAAAGTAATTATTATATTTTCTCAGGAATGAAATGCAGGAGGTGAAGTGGCTTCACCCAGGCGATGGCAGGGTAGAGGACATGATAGCCATGAACAAACATGGCACTTGGCGCCATTGCGTATATTTTACCTTGCACTTGGAACAACCATTAGAACCACAGCAGTATCTTCAAGCTGTAACTCATCTGCGTAAGTAAGTATAGAGCACAACATTCTTTTGTATAAAACAAGCCATAATAAATAACTTTTTTGAGTTACTAGGTGTACCATCTCGTGCTAAGACAGAATTACTCCAAACTGCTGGAGAGTGCTAATTATTATATGATTTTATATAGAACATATTTATGCTTCGTTATTGTTGTGTTTCATTGTTCGTCAACGACGTGTTCATTGTTCATTAATGTCGTGTTCATTGTTCATCAACGTCGTACCTGTGAGAAAACGTCAACACTGTTCCTCTTCTATGCACAGTTGTGCCAGAATAAAAGAAGTAAAATATTCTAATAAAGTCTGTGGGGCTAACCATAATGGAAGTGAGGGATGGGAAAACTGGCCCTGGGTCGAGTGAGTACTGTGACTGGCAGTGTGTCGAGTGAGTACTGTGGCTGGCAGTGGGTCGAGTGAGTACTGTGGCTGGCAGTGGGTCGAGTGAGTACTGTGACTGGCAGTGGGTCGAGTGAGTACTGTGGCTGGCAGTGGGTCGAGTGAGTACTGTGGCTGGCAGTGGGTCGAGTGAGTACTGTGGCTGGCAGTGGGTCGAGTGAGTACTGTGGCTGGCAGTGGGTGGAGTGAGTACTGTGACTGGCAGTGGGTCGAGTGAGTACTGTGGCTTGCAGTGGGTCGAGTGAGTACTGTGGCTTGCAGTGGGTCGAGTGAGTACTGTGGCTGGCAGTGGGTCGAGTGAGTACTGTGGCTGGTCCTGGGTGGAGTGTGGACTGATGGCTGGTCCTGGGTGGAGTGTGAACTGGTGGCTGGTCCTTGGTGGAGTGTGAACTGGTGGCTGGTCCTTGGTGGAGTGTGAACTGGTGGCTGGTCCTTGGTGGAGTGTGGACTGGTGGCTGGTCCTGGGTGGAGTGTGGACTGGTGGCTGGTCCTGGGTGGAGTGTGAACTGGTGGCTGATCCTTGGTGGAGTGTGAACTGGTGGCTGGTCTAGAGGGGAGAGTGAACTGGTGGCTGGTCCTGGGTGGAGTGTGGACTGGTGGCTGGTCCAGAGTGGAGAGTGAACTGGTGGCTGGTCCTGGGTGGAGTGTGAACTGGTGGATGGTCCTTGGTGTAGTGTGAACTGGTGGCTGGTCCTTGGTGGAGTGTGAACTGGTGGCTGGTCTAGAGGGGAGAGTGAACTGGTGGCTGGTCCTGGGTGGAGTGTGAACTGGTGGCTGGTCCTTGGTGTAGTGTGAACTGGTGGCTGGTCCTTGGTGGAGTGTGGACTGGTGGCTGGTCTAGAGGGGAGAGTGAACTGGTGGCTGGTCCTGGGTGGAGTGTGAACTGGTGGCTGGTCTAGAGGGGAGAGTGAACTGGTGGCTGGTCCTTGGTGGAGTGTGAACTGGTGGCTGGTCTAGAGGGGAGAGTGAACTGGTGGCTGGTCCTGGGTGGAGTGTGGACTGGTGGCTGGTCCAGAGTGGAGAGTGAACTGGTGGCTAGTCCAAAGTGGAGAGTGAACTGGTGGCTGGTCCTTGATGGAGTGTGAACTGGTGGCTGGTCCTGGGTGGAGAGTGAACTGGTGGCTGGTCCTGGGTGGAGTGTGAACTGGTGGCTGGTCCTTGGTGTAGTGTGGACTGGTGGCTGGTCCTTGGTGTAGTGTGAACTGGTGGCTGGTCTAGAGGGGAGAGTGAACTGGTGGCTGGTCCTGGGTGGAGTGTGGACTGGTGGCTGGTCTAGAGGGGAGAGTGAACTGGTGGCTGGTCCTGGGTGGAGTGTGGACTGGTGGCTGGTCCAGAGTGGAGAGTGAACTGGTGGCTAGTCCAAAGTGGAGAGTGAACTGGTGGCTGGTCCTGGGTGGAGTGTGAACTGGTGGCTGGTCCTGGGTGGAGTGTGAACTGGTGGCTGGTCCTTGGTGGAGTGTAGACTGGTGGCTGGTCCTTGGTGGAGTGTGGACTGGTGGCTGGTCCTGGGTGGAGTGTGAACTGGTGGCTGGTCCTGGGTGGAGTGTGAACTGGTGGCTGGTCCTTGGTGTAGTGTGAACTGGTGGCTGGTCCTTGGTGGAGTGTGGACTGGTGGCTGGTCCTGGGTGGAGTGTGAACTGGTGGCTGGTCCTGGGTGGAGTGTGGACTGGTGGCTGGTCCTGGGTGGAGTGTGGACTGGTGGCTGGTCCTGGGTGGAGTGTGGACTGGTGGCTGGTCCTGGGTGGAGTGTGGACTGGTGGCTGGTCCTGGGTCGAATAAGTACTGGGGCTACACCACATCCCTTGTGGCACACCATAAACCCACACCCCCGGGGCACGCAATAACCCGGAAGGCACATCACTCCACGGAGGGCATACCACACCCCCGGGAGCACACCCCGGGGGCACACCACACTGTAACGGGAGGTGGGGGAAATAGCTCTATCTTGTCCATTATCCCACCCCTAGTTAACTATCCTAACGGGAGGGTGGAGGAAATGGCTCTCTTTTGTCCATTATTCCACCCCCCAGTTAGCTAATCTAAAGCTCTCCACAGAGTCCTTACTGCAGCCTCTAGTTCAACACCTTGTGACCTAGGTATTTGATTACCTAGGTATCACGACAACAAGGCATTATAACCTGATCAGCTACCCGCGACTCTAGAGAAACACTAGAACAGTTCACGGCCACGAACGAAGCAGAGAAACGAAAGGAAAGAGATGAATAATGAAGTAATTAGTGAAGGTTTGGGGTGAGAGAGTAGGGAGGACTAGGCGGGAGGAGTGTGGTCAGGAGAAAGAGAGAGAGGGTACGGAGATGAAATGGAAGTAGTGGTAGAGGTAGAATGGTAGATAGGTAGAAGTAGGAAAGTAGATAGTAGAAGTAGAAGGTAGACTACCACCAACCACTCAAGACCATTATATACAAGGCCAGGAATGGAACTTGTCGGAATCACAAAATTCTCTAAGATGTCATTATTAACATGATTTAACTGGAATCATGTTCCAGGCAAGATTTTATTAGTTACTAACTCGAGTTTGCCATGTATCAGAAATTCCAAGAACTCGGGAACGCAATTAAAGTCAAATTAAAAGTAAATGAATCAACTATTTATTTAGCAAGATGAATATCAGAATTCAAGCAATCGAACTAAAGGTTCATTACTAATGTACCAAGTGAGTCACTACACCAGAATTCGAGACCATTACAGCCGTCTGCCCCCTGATTGTCACACAACACTAGTAAACACGACTACGTCACCTTTCATGTTCAACTCACCAAGTGTCTGCCTATAGCTGGATAGAGAGGGGGATGGGGGACTGTAGTGGACAGAGACTGTTCCGCCCCGTCCGGCTGACAGCCTCTCGGTTTTGCCCTGCTGGCTGTTCTCCTGTCTGCTGTCTGTCTCTTCCTATCTATCCCTCGAGTGCACAGTACCCTGGGTTATATTGGGGACCAACTAGCTAACTCCGCCCCCAAGTAGATAGCCCCAGGCACTCTACCAAGCCACACCTTAAATTGGCGGCATGTTTGAAGGTCACTCCCGGCTAGTCGCCTGCAATTATGAGCTTAGCGTAGACCAGGTTAGCTTCCCACGACCTGACCTTGGTCACTTGGTGGTCATTAACACTTAGAGGTAAGATTTTCTTAGTTACTAGGGGCCACCAACCGGTGCCTCTCGAAATCTTGTCTGTGACTCCTTTTCTATATATATATATATTAAAAACAAAACACCTTTACGGTGTTACAACATACCCGGGGCACACTACACCCCTGGGGTCACACCACACCCCCGGGGGCGCATCACACCCCCTAGGGCACACCACACCCCCGGGGACACACCACACCTACGGGGGCACACCCTCCAAGGTCACACCACACCCTCCAGGGGAACACCACACCCTCCAGGGGCACACCACACCTCCGGGGGCAAATCACCCACCCCCAGGGGCGAACCACACCCCCAGGGGCAAACCACACTCTCCAGAGGCACACCACACCCCCCAGGGGCACCCCACACCCTCCAGGGGCACACCACACCTCCAGGGGCGCAAAACACCCCCCAGGGGCACAACACACCCTCCAGAGGCATACCACACCCCCGGGGGCACACCACACCCTCCAGATGCACACCACACCCTCCAGGGGCACACCACACCCCCGGGGGCACACCACACCTTTGGGGGCACACCACACCCTTCAGAGGCATACCACACCCCCGGGGGCACACCACACCCTCCAGATGCACACCACACCATCCAGGGGCACACCACACCCCCGGGGGCACACCACATCTTTGGGGGCACACCACACCCTCCAGGGGCACACCACACCTCCGGAAGCAAATCACACACCCCAAGGGCAAACCACACCCCCAGGGGCACACCACACTCTTCAGGGGCACACCACACCCCCCAGGGGGTACACCACACCCACCAGGGGGTACACCACACCCTCCAGCGGCACACCACACCCCCGGGGGCACACTACACCCCTCACGGGAACACCACACCCTCTAGGGGCACACCACACCCCCCAAGGGCACACAACAACCCCCCAGGGGCACACCACACCCTCCAGAAGCACACAACACCCACGAGGGCACACCACACCCCTGGCGGGCGCACCACACCATCGAGGGCACAACACACCCCCAAACGCACACCACACCCCAAGGGGACCACAACACCCTCCAGGGGAACACTACACCCCGGATAGGCACACCACACCCCCGGGGGCACACCACACCCCTGGTTGCACACCACACCCCTGGGGGAACACCACACCCACGAAGGCACACCACACCCTCCACGGGCACACCACACCCCCGGGGGCACACCACACCCTCCAGGGGTACACCTCACCCCCGAGGGCACACCACACCCCTGGGGCACACCACACCCCTGGGGGCACATTACACTCCCGAGGGCACATCAAACCCCAGGGGCACACCACACCCTCCAGGGGCACACTAAACCTCCGGGGGCAAATCACACACCCCCAGGGGCACACCACACCCTCCAGGGGCACACCACACCCCCAGGGGCACACCACACCCTCTAGGGGCACACCACACCCCCGGGGGCACACC